GCTCTTTTGTTCGCTTGAGCAGAATTCTTCGAACCCTTTTTACGCTAAATTAAGACAGGAGCAAGTCTCTCCGCGCTTGGTAAATTCGCTTAAAAAGGTACAGTGGATCCCTAAAAATGTACAACGTCGATTTGTTCCATTTGTGTGTGGTCCGTCGGTTCCATTTGTGTGTGGTCCGCTGGTCAACCGATAACGACTACAACATCGTTATTTAAATCGTTATTAAGTATTTCGGTGATGCTGCGACGATTACGATTGCTGGAAAAACCATACACCGTGTAAAATGGAGTGATCACGATTCACAGAGATTCGTAATTAGCCGCTTCTCTCGGAAGAACGATGCGTAGCGATACGGTGTCACAATTACTCTCTAGTATTCGTTAATCGTCGACTGTCCTGATCTATTTGTCGAAAATGCGAAAGAAAGAGAAAAGAAAAAAGAAAATAGAAGAACCATCTGGAAATTTCTTTCTCCTTCGTCAGACTTTCTCACTTTTGTTCGTTCTCCTCGTTATAAAAGACGTGTGTGCCGTTGAAAAATAGATCGTTCGCAAACGAAAGTATCGAAGTTCTCGCGTCCGAGTAGAGGGCAAAGTTGGAAGATCGAGTAATCATTATCGTCTATCGTAAGTCTAAGTGTTTGTCAGGTAACCGATTTTCTGGAGATTATTTCGCGCAAAATCACCAGCGACCCGCGACACAATAATCGCGATAAATACAAACGATCGATTTACTCCTAAAATTTAATATACATACAAACATATATTCGTATATGTATATATTCTCCTCGTGTTTCTATCAAAAGAAGGCACTTATCATCCCTTATATCCCTAATTACGCATGGAATGATTGGTAATTTCGTAATCTACATGTAATAAACGTATCTCCTCGGTTCAATTTGTTTAGTTTGCGTACCTAGTAACGTTCCAAGATCGAAAAATACCTTAGAATCTACGGATAAAAATACCTAAAGTATAAAAGTACTAGAAAATATTTGCGAAACTCTATGATAAGGAAATTTCAAAAAATTGGTAACACGATCTCGTCAATTTTGTCTCGACGTTCAACACGTTTATAATAAGAGAGCGATAGCGTCAGTTTTAAGTCGATAAAATCCTGAGACTCGAAAGTACTACGAACAGTCGCGTCTATTTACGAACGCATTCGTTCGTCGGCAAATTTCTATCGAGAGAAACGTCGTTTTCGCCTTGCTTCGTTCGCGGTACGATCGTCGTAGAAATGAAACGCGTCTATGCATTTAAATAACTGCCTGTTCAGAGTCAAGCAAATACGATTTGAAAAGGACACGGTAAACGGTCGGGTCGACCGTTCATTTAACATGTAAAAGTGCAGGGAAACGGAGAAAAACATGGATACAGATATGGAGGAGAGAGCTTTTAAATAATTAGTAAATAGAACGAGATATTATGTACACGCAGAAACGAAATGTATAACGTAGAAAATTGCTCGCGTTATTGAGGTAACAACTTAACGAAACGAAAGAGAATAATTATAACCTACGTACTTTTTCAACGACAATTAACGTACGCGTTTCGATAATTCTCGAGCGACTTCCCTCTTCTCACCCTGTCCGTCTCCTATTTACAACGTCCGCGACCGCGATCAGACTCGCGCGAAAAGTAGAAAAAAAGTAGAAACAAAAACAAGGAAGAAAAGAAAAAATCAACGCACCATTTACCGATAAATTTCACCCGTCTCCGCCTATTGTTTACCACGTTCGCGTACTTCCGGTGCGGAAAGAAAAACAAAGAAAGGAAAAAAACGGCGAAACGTTCCAAGTGAAATGAAAATATACATACTCGAGACGATGAGAGTAGGCGAGAACCGTTTCGAATTTGCAACTGAAGAAAAAAAAAAAAAAAAGAGATACGTTTACCGTGATGAAGAGAGTGGGTGGGGCTAGGAATGGGTGAATTTCCAGGACGATCGTGCCAACGTGGCCCGCGAGGTTCGACCGTTGTTCTCATATTTTAAGCGCCCTCGTCGTAACCGATCTTCTGATGATGCCGCTTGTAATGTACCGTCAGGTTGCCGCGCTGCCTCGCTTTGTAAGGGCACTCGGGACATTGGAAGGCCGGGGGTTTCCCGCCGCATTCGACCATCTCGTGGCGACGCATCGTGCTTTTCCATCTGTAACCTTTGCCGCAAAAACGGCACCGAAACTTCCGCTGTTGCTCGTGCGGCACTCCCATGTAAACAACACTGAGGTCTCGGGGTTGTGGCAACACCTCGAAGGAATCGGGGAACACCACTTCGCGTGTCGATGTACGCGGCCCTGTGTCGTTTCCGCTGTCGTAGCTGTTACTGTCCCCCGCGTTGCTCGCTCGTCTGCTAGCCAAAACGACGCCGGCGGCCCTCGTCGTCGTTGTCGTCGTCGTCGTCGTCGTCGTCGTGGTAGCGACGCTAGACGTCGAGGAACGACCACCTTTCTTGCTGCTGCCCGTCTGCTGCGGCTGTTGCTGCTGCTTGTAATCGGACCGCAACAACGACAGCAACGCAACCATTCCTGCAACAGGTCCCGGCGCCAAGCGAGACGCGAGATCGAGGTAAGAGGTTATTTTATTCAGTTCAAAGATGCAATAGGATAACGGGTGAGGGAGATCGGGGTGGTGAGTAAACGGGGAGAGAGAGAAGGTTCGAAGGGTGTTGATGGAGGAGAGGGTTTCTTCTCGCTCGATGCACGAATATATAAGTTATGCGGCAAGAGAGATCAGTGAAATATTAAACCCGTAACCAACCCAACACATAACGTATCAGCCAATAGCCCCGAGAAATAAGTGCGCCCAGGGTAAAATTTTGCCGTGTTTACGTGAATAGGCGTGTGAGGTTTTTTAGGTAGCGAGAAAAGCCGGAGAGACGCGTTCGATTCCTTCTTTCTTTTCTCTTCTCTTCTCTTCTTTTTTCTTCTTGTTTTTTTTTTCTTTTTTTTACTATTTTTGGTTTTCTTATCTTTTTTCTTTGTCTTTTCTCTTTTTCTGTTTTCTTTTCGCTGAAATACGTAAATTCGTGTGTCCGTCTCGATTCGCGTGTAATCGTCTCTCCAGCTTCTCCCACACCTGTCTTCGATGAAAAGATGCCAATTTCCAACCCTCCACAATAAGATAACCAAACAGGATGCTTCGGTGATCGTAGGATGATCCCGCTTCGTATATATTCGATATTACGTATAATAATGTACAAGAGATTCTTTGTTACATTTGGTCGTAGACTCGTGTTGCGCGACCACTCAAAGTGATCACCACGCGTTTCCACGTACTGTGTGTTTTGTTTGTTTGCGTTCGCATAAACAAGAGAAGTTTTGTTTCGTTAAAATGTCAGGTCACGGTGTCCTGAAACAAAAATATTCGTCAACCAATTTTGATGCGATCTAATGGAAAAATACAGGAAATAATTGTTCTTTGTTGTGAAATCAAGCGGACAATTAGTAAACGTTGAAAAGAAAATGTCACGTTTTGGGGGAATATAACACGTGTGTTTCTTTTTTATTCTGATGATTTTTCTTTTTTTGAACGGTATAAGGAACGGTTATAGTCAGGAAGAGAGAGACACGAACGTACCTTTTATTCGTATCGATTACAATAATTACGCACGTATGTACTCATTATCTTGGCGTGGAGAACCGGCGGCGTTCACGGACGTGATTCGATCTTATTTATTCATGTAACAGTTGACCAATTTGCCGTGCTTGTGAGCCACGTGTGACCCCAAGTTGAACTTCCTCTTTGAGCTGAAGCGACAGTAGGGACAGTGGAATTGCGGGAGCATGCCGCACTCGAGTTTCAGGTGCCGGTACAGGGAGGAGGCGTTCGAATAGACCTTCTGACACTTTCCACAAGGGTACATCCTTCGCGGTTTGTTCGCTGTCCTAGCCGGACGATGGTGTAGCCAGAAATCTGCGAAAAATCGTTCGGTCACCCAATAATTATACATCCGCAGGAGCGAGTAAGTGACATTCATTTAATCAAAACAAATTCTCGACTTTTATTCTCCCCTTTGTCTTTCTTTTCTTTTTCTTTTTTTTTATTTTTGTTACGGGGTGGTTCTCTGCGAAACAAAAAATTGAAACATACATACAAAGGAAGAGAGTGAGAGAGAAAAAGAGAAAAAAAACAACGAATAAATATAAATAGAAAAAAGGAAAATATGAGATTCGTCGAACGCGAAGAATAACGGGACACGGTCGCGTCCAATATTCTAAACCGAAACGAGAATCGTGCAGCTAAAGCGTTGTTAATGAATGAAAGAGGGTCGCGGACCAGACATCCCCGCGAGAAGTAACCTGTAAATAGAACGCAACTTTCCAGCAGGTGGAACGCTGATCGTCCACGATGAAATCGTAACGCATTACAGCCTTTTGTATCAGAATATAATGTAACATTTATTTCTATAAAAAAGATATCCGAAGTAACAAGAAATATTGCGCAGAAACGGTGCAGGCGGGCGCGCGCGTGTTCGAATTTCCTCGATCAATTGTTAACATTGTAGAGCATTTTGTAGTGAATCTGTCGGATGAACTCGCCGTTCCCGGAGGTTAGGAGAACCGGCCAACATTCGGGGCTCTCTCGGACATGCCGGTGCAACGACTTCCTCCATTTGTACGATTTCGAGCAGGCCAAACAGGTGTTCCATTCTGAAAAAGAAACGCGTTCGTCTCGTCAATGGTTGGCGGCTCTCGATCGTTCGTCAACCGAAAAGCACGCGTCGACGTTTATAATATTCGTACTCGCGTTCCTTTCGATCCTTGCGTTTTTCCATATCATTCCTTTTTATCTAAAAAAAAAAAAAAAACTGACTCCAACTATTTCACGCGACTCTCGGTGTTATTCGTGTGTATAGTTCGTGTAGAGAAAGATTGGCTCGTGGAGAGACAAGGAGTGTATACGGTGAAAAAAGAAGGGTAGAGGAGTTTGAGAGCGTTGACGTAAATTAGAAACGCTGCTCTTTTCGTCTGTCGATCGTCGAAATGAACGACATCTTTCGCGATCCAAGCACAATCTGCGTGCCGCCTCCCCCCTCCCACTTTGCTCGCCCGTTAATTGTCATCAAACCCGACGCACGCGCGTTTTTCCTCTGTTTTCTTCATCTTCTTCGAGAGTCAGCTCGGTTAGCAGCCAGTTTCAGCAATTTATTTACAAAAAAAGACGATGTGTGCGCATGCTTTCGAAAGAAATGTACAGTATATTACAAAAAAACGATCGTTCGTTGCGGGTGATCGATACGAGAGAAGATTACACAACGCGTGTCGAATTAATAAATAAAACGGCAACCCCTCGCGAAATTTTTCCATCAGATTCCATAATCGTGAGGGAGTTTCTCTTCCTTTCTCTTCAAAAACAGCTGTTCGGTTTGGCAACTTTTCCCGACCGTGCATTTTCAACGAGTCTTCCGACGATAGGAACACTGCTATTTCGGTGGCTTCCCGCAGCTCTCGCACCGTGTGCAACTGTGAGTCCGACTAGACAACCTGGAAGAAAATCACAAGCCTCGGTTAGTGAAAAAAATCGAAAAAGCAATCCTGTCGGTCGTTTTCCTCGGTTAAACACTTCTTGTATACCTGTTTGTCACCCGAAAATACCTTCCCCCACCCCTCCCACAGAGAGTTTCCAAAATGTTCGTTTCTCGGCAGGGATAATTGCGTCGTAAATCCGTGCCCAATTAGCCATAATTCTGCGTGCGCGTGTGTGTCACACTCGCAGCGAGATCGTTCGCTGGATCAGAGACAGGGTGGAACGAAAAAAGGACGACGACAGATTTTAAGCGCGCACGAACAAAAGAAAGCGAGGTGTAGAAGGTTGCGATTAGATTCGGTTCGGGAGTTCCATGCACTCGTTAGTAGCGTCGCGTTAATTCCACTTCACCTCGAGTCCCGCTCGAGAGGAAAAAATACTGTGGGAAGAGGGAATGAAATGCAGGAGGCACCTTCGTAGAACGCTTTATTACTGGTTCTATGCTATTTGGCTTAGCAAACGCTCGTGCACGCCTCGCGCTCGTCTTTCTCGCGGCGTCAAACGCACCGCGTTTAACAGCAACAACGACAAATATTTTCAATCAAGCCCGTACGCGTCGTCCCGATCTGATCGAAGATCGTCAAGTTGCTTCGGATTCCGGTGGCTGTGGTTGTGGGCGGTTCACCGGCTTGTCGCTACAGGTGCCCTCGTGCTCGCACATCAGGTGCGCTGATTTCGATCGTTCTCGTTCACCCGGATGACGAAGGTCTTGGGCGAGCGTCATATGGCGGCTGCAAGACGACGTACAAGTTTCTAAGTCCTTGTACATGAATGTCCTCCTCGACCAGTGCCTCTTAAGGTCGACGTCGCCAGTCCTCGCTGCTCGGTGAATAACTCTGCGCTACTTCCGGGCTGTTCGAACGCCCAGCAAGACCTGCGGCAGAGCGTCGGTCCATGCCGTGGCATTTGATCATGTTACTCGTTGTTCTGTGCGTCGCCCTCGTCAGGCGTGTCAGCTGTTTAAACAAGTCCCAAATCTTGCTATCCACCCGCTGACAAAGGCTCTGGCGACTGTTGTGGCCTCGACGTCCTGGAGTGGGATGGCACGCGCGTCAGGCAATAGCGGTACCCTCGCAGAGGTCCCGTGTGAACGAGCTCGAACCTTGCAGAAGTATCCGCGAATGTGTGAACGCGTGCACTCACGTGACGTGCGACCTTCGTGTGCGAAGACGCAGGTCCTCGTTCATGATCGGCAGTCTCCGCGTATGCCCGGCCATACGTACCTGTCGGCGAGCAACTTCTGCGTGGTCCGGCTGCTTGGGTGCGAGAGACCGTGGAGTATGTCAAGAACTGCCGGTCGGACCTTCTCCGTCGACACGTCGCAATGAAGAAATGTCCAGGACCCCTGAAATGCGACTTTCCTCAGTCGCTGCAGCTCCAGATCCTGCCATCGTCTCGTGGTCCACTGCTCTCGTGACATCCTCGACGCGAGACAGCGCGTCCACTACGACGTTGTTCGATCCTTCGATGTGTCGGATGTCGGTGGTGAATTGCGCGATGTAGTCGAGGTAGCGGAACTGCCTGGGCGTGCGGTCCGTATATATAGTGAACGGACGTCCTTTCACGAGAAAACGGAACCTCTTCACGGCAGCGTAAGCAGCTAGAAGCTCGCGATCATACGCGCTGTACTTCCGCTGCGCCGCGTTGAGAGCCCTCGTGAAAAAGGCGAGAGCTTTGCGCGAGCATCGTAGCGTTCGCCAGGGCGTAAAATCTTCCTCAGCCATCGTCGTCCATGCGATGGGAGTGTCTCCCTTCCTTTTAGAGATGAAACGGCGATAAAAGTTTATCATCCCCAGGTATCGCTCCAGTTCCCTAGTGATCTTCGGTTTCGGGAACGCTCGCAAGGCTTGCACCTTCTCCTCCAGCGGCCGGATTCCCTGGTGGTCCACAGCGTATCCGAGAAACTGGACTCCGCGTTCGCCGAACACGCATTTTGACTGATTAACGACGATTCTGTGCTTAATCAGACGTTTAAAAAGCGTGCACAGGTGGTCCTC